AATATGTAAAAGTTTTAAAATTTTGAGGTGAGGGGGTATAGTGGGAGGGGCGGGGGGTTCTTGAGGGCATATGCTTGAAATGGCTGCTAATTCAGAGACGGGTTTTCCATTTATGTAAGCCTTCTGTTTTTCCAGTTGCTTTCCTCGATTTTGCATCACTTCTCGATCAACCTGCTGTTTAATTGATGATTTTTTTTACTCGTCAGGAAAATTATTCAAAATTTTTTTAGCCGATTTCTCACCTTTTTTTTTTTTGCTATAGATCCGTTTTATTCGTTAATTTTCGATTATTTGGATCCTTAGGCTGTTGAAAAGATGTTTAAATACTATATGTGCATTTGTTACATATTTTCAGGTACACGCTTGATGGTTTGCAAGACGAAGATTATACAATAACGGCTAAAAAAGAACATTACGCATTTAACACAGTTGACGTGAATCTTAGCACCAAAAATGTTGAAATCCCTAATATCACTGTTGAAAGGTAAACGATGAATTTCAAAAAAAAAAACTTTTTTTTAGCCAAATTTTAATTTAATAAGTTTTTATAAATTAGTAATGTTTTGGAGAATTGGGCATTTCACCAAATATTTTTTATTAATTATTTACAAGTACGCTAAATTATCTCGTTTAATCACAAATACTTAAATAGCGTGGAAGGATGTCAAAACCTTTTCCGATTCCGATTTTGTGGGTGACAAAAATCACTCGAAAGTAGCTGGCATGGTACTTCGCCAACAGCAACCACTCGTTTCAATATTCTCGATAGCTCCATTTTTCTAATTTATATATTTTTTTGCCATCAGTTAATGAAAAATCATTTAAGCAATGCATTAGCTATCGATTTTTATGCGTTTTGTGCCATGCAACAGCTGCACAAACCGCATATTGTCATGGTGTTGTCTATGTGTGCGTTTGTACGTGTGTGTGTGCGTTTGTGTGTGTACGTGTGTGCATTTGTGTGCATGCGTTCGTGTGTGTGTGTTTGTGTGCGTGCACGTGTGTGTATGCGTGTGTGTGTGTGTGTGTGTGTGTGTGTGTGTGTGTTACTGCGCAGCAACCTGTTTCGAATGCGACACTATTGATCGTGTAAACTGGAAATTATCATCAGAAAATTTGTCCATAAGGCATATTCAAATACTGTGAATAGGGCATCTTTTCAGTGGTAAACTGCATGTTTAGGCTAAAAATTTCAAATTCAGCCCCTGGGCGTTCGTGGTTCTCAGAAAATTTTCCATGATACATATTCGAAAACTATGAATAGGACGCTTAAAAGACTTGGCGGAAAAATTGCTCGCTGAACAGCTAGGTTACTTTCAAAAAAAGGCCGTTAAACGGAAAATGTTCATTTCCTTTATGCAAAAATATTTATGTCGATTTACTCCAGTATAGATGATAAGAATCAAATTTTCAGTGTTGATGTGTGTGTTTCGGTTGATG